CATTGTGAATTGTTTTCTTTTGCTATGATTATAGACATATTTGGATTTATTTTGCCATCTTTTAAATGCTTCCTATTTATCCTTTCTCTGTGCTTCTTTATTCTCTGCCTTCATTTAGACTAGATTGCTTGTTTGTTGGTCTGAAATGCATGCATACTCAAAGTGTGGTTAATCAATGTTTTGGAACAATACAAGGACTATATACCATTAATTCCAAATATTTCAGTTCTACATGTTTCACTGCCCTCTCACCCCACTACTCCAGTAGACATAACTATTATTTGACACATGCAGTGTTGGCTTAGGGTTTACCCACTCTAGTGATACCCTATCCAGGTACTCTAGTTGGTACCCTATCCAGATCCCTTTTATTGGGCTAGTACACCCACTGGCCAGCTCTAGCACTGGCTGATTTACACTTTTCTCCTGAGAACTGCTCTCATGAGAACAGGGCCTTCCTGGCTGGGAGGTTACCCCACTCTATTCACTGAGGGCACACTGTAGCCAATGCATAACTGGTATGGGGATACAAAAAAAAAAAAAAACCCAGCCCCCTTCCACAAGGGGGGACAACTCAGTTGTGCCTGTATTTCTTGTCTATTGCAGCTGTAATTATTACTAACTTAATGGCTTAAAACATGAAGCTGGGTGCAGTAGCTTACTTCCTGTAACCCCAACTACTTGGGAGAATGAGACAGGAGGATCCCAAGTTCAAGGTCAGCCTGGGCAATTTAGTGAGATCCTATCTTAGAGCAAAAAAGGGATGGAGGGCTGGGGTTGTAGCTCAGTGGTAGAGCACTCGCCTAGCAAGGGCAAGGCACTGGGTTTGATCCTCAGCACCATATTAAAAAACAAATAAATAAAAAATAAAGGTTAAAAAAAGGGCTGGGGGGGCTGGGGATGTGGCTCAAGCGGTAGCGCGCTCGCCTGGCATGCGTGCGACCCGGGTTCGATCCTCAGCACCACATACAAAGATGTTGTGCCCGCCAAAAAACTAAAATAAATAAATAAATAAATGTTAAAAAATTCTCTCTCTCTGTCTCTCACTCTCTCTTAAAAAAAAAAGGGGGGGCTGGGGAATGTAGCTTAGTGGTAGAGCAACCCTGGGTTCAGCCCCAGTACCACAAAAACAAAAACACGAATTTATTGTTACTAGGTCTGGAAATAGGAAGCCTAGCATGGGTCTTACTGGGCTAAAATCAACAGAGCTGTGTGTCCCTTTCTGGAGGCAAGAAGGAACAATCTATTTTCCAGCATTTTTCCTTACTCCATTTTCAAGGCTAACAACATAGTATCTAACCATTTTTTGGTAGTCACATGTCTTTGACTCTCTCCTCAGCTTCCCTCTTTCTCTTTTAAGGACCTTTGAGTTTACATTGTATAATCTAGAATAATCTTTTGAGGTCAACTGCTTGGCATTTTTAATTCCATCAGCAACCTTAATTCCCCTTTGCCTTGTAACCGAACATATTCATAGGTTCAGGGGATTAGGATGGGGACATCTTTCAGGACCATTATTCTGCCAATCACAGTGCCCTTCATGCTCCAGAGTTATTTACAGGTTCAAGCTAAGGCTAGATCCAGCTGAACACACATTAAGGGGCCTACAGGATGGTATGTCTTTATTCAATAGTAAATAGTGTTTGTCATAATAATGTATAAAATATATATAATGTATAATGTATAAAACTGTGTAAGAAATTTAATGAATTACTATAAGGATGTGAAAAGGAAGGTGTTACAGAGCTAAATCCACATCTGCCATAATAGGAAGTCCAAGCCATTTATCATAATACAAAGTCTAAGAAATATATATGGTTATAGTAAATACTAAGAGAAACAACTAATATCGTTGAAACTTCTCTGGGGGAAAAAGTCACCAAGTTGGAGAGAGGTGGAGCAGAGAAGTGCTCCTTTTCTTTAGAAGCCTTGTAATCCTCTGACTTCTTGAATTATGTCCATTGTTTCAGTTAAAAAAAAAACTTAAAAAATAAATTGTGAATGCATAAAAGTTGAAAACAACCCCCCATAGCAATAACCCACTAGTCTTAAATTTCTGTCTCTGGTTCTAAAAAAAAAAAATAACTTATTCTGTATATAAATTAACAAGCACTTGGGGTTGGGACTGTAGCTCAGTGGCAGAGCACTTGCCTAGCTTGTGTGAGGCATTGGGTTCGATCCTCAGCACCACATGAAAAATAAATAAACAAACAAACAAATAAATAAATAAAAGCACGCTGCTCATCTACATGAAAGAAAGAATTTTTTTTTTGAGAGAGAATTTTTTTTTTAATATTTCTTTTTTAGTTTTCGGCAGACACAACATCTTTGTTTGTATGTGGTGCTGAGGATCGAACCCGGGCCGCACGCATGCCAGGCGAGCGCGCTACCGCTTGAGCCACATCCCCAGCCCAAAAGAAAGAATTTAACATGCACTCAACCTGAAGATTTCAGGTAATATAAAACACTGAAGGCACAAACTGAAAATCCTATATAACAACCCCTTAGAGATAACCACAATTAACGTTGGTGTGTTATACTTAGGCTTGCACTCCTAGGTATTAAAAAATAAGAGGAAAACATGATCAGACCTGAGTGCAATGGCATGTACCTGTAGTTCCAGCTACTCAGGATACTGAGGCAGGAACATTCTGGGTACCTGATTTTATCACTAAATGTGAATACATTCTAGATCAATTTATATAACTATACTGCTCTTATATGCATAGAATGTTATAATTTGAACATATTATTACCAGTAATAATAATTTAACAAAAATATGGAGGTAAGAGGTGCCGTATTATATTCATCTTTCATTACAGGAAATTAGGGTATATTACCTGAAGTCTGTAAAGGAAGAAAAATTAATGTATAATATTTAAACTTGGAAACCTTTAATGATAGGCTAACTTATGTTTCTATAAAGAATGTATTGCAGCCAGGCACAGTGGTGCACACCTGTAACCCCAGTGACTGGGGTGGCTGAAGAAGCAGGATCCCAAGTTCAAGGCCAGCCTCAGCAAGTTAGTAAGATCCTATCTCAAAATAAAAATTAAAAAAGATTGGAATGTAGTTCAGTGGTCCCTGGGTTCAATCTCCAGTACCAAAAAATCTCAAAAAGAATGTCTTGCTGGGCACCATGGTCCAGGTACTGATGAGGTTGAGGCAGGAGGATCACAAGTTTTGGGCCAGCCTAGATAACTTAACAAGACCTTGTCTCCCAGGGAAAAAAAGGGCTGGGAGGTAGCTCAGTGGTAGAGCACTTGCCTAGCATGTGTCAGGCCTAGTTTCAATCTCCAGTACTATCAAAAAAGAATTTCATCTGTATTATATTTGAAGCAAACAAACAAAACACTCTAAAAATCATCTATTTTGTGAGGAAGGATATGGAAAAAAATCTAAGAATAAAAATTAAAATGAGTCAAAATGTCCCTATATATCTTCCAAAACCTAAACCACAAAAATAGGTATATTCCATATAGTCAAATTTTAATAAATCTTACAAACAGCTGTTATGTCCTAAAACAATCAATCTTCATTTCACACAAAAGCAGGCTATCTAAATCTAAGCTTTTCCGTGCAATGAAGCCCCACCAAGTCATTCTTGACGGACCCTGGTTCACAGCACTATTACACAGAGAAAGTAGTTTTCCATAGGGCAACACTAAATCCAGCACAGTAATATGCTTTTCACAAACTTACTCACATTATCAACTGAATATCTACCAAGAGCCAAGCACTATACAGGTTGAGTGTCCCTCATCCAAACACCCAACATCTCAAACCTTTTGAGTGCCCATACAATGCACCAAGTAGAAAATTCCACACCTGACTTCATGTGACAGACCAGTCAAAACAGGTGGTACAACAGTTTATTGTGTCCCCAAAGGGGGTGGGAATCTCTCCAAGCCACTTTGGCTGTGATATACCCATTTTATGTATAAAAGTTATTTAAAATGTATAAATGTATAAGTTATTTAAAATCTTGTATAAAATTACCTTAAGGTGTACATGAAACAAATGAATTTCATGTTTAGATTTGGGTTCCAATCTCCAAGATATCTCATTATGTATATGTAAATATTCCAAAATCTGAAATCGGAAAGACTTCTGGTCCCAAGCATTTTAGATGAGGGAAATTCCACCTACACTATGTGCTTTAGAAATTAGAGGTTGATAGGGGGAAAACAGTGTAAATTTGAGGTAGAACAACACTAACAGGTATGACAGTATAGAGTGTATTGGTAATATTTTACACTGGCATACAAATATTTTCCAACATCACAAGATATTTTGAAATGTATAGGAAAATATGAAGAGTTCTCTTTTTCTGTTTTCATTCATATATTTGGACCCTCAAAGTAGTTATGTACATTTGTCACTAAGTCATATGCCAGGTTCTCTTTTTGTTGTTGTTTTGGTTTTTGATGTAAGCATGTGCTCCATCATTGAGCTACATACACCCCCAGCCCTGTTACATAATTTTTCAATTAAAAATATTTTAGTGTCCATTTAATTAAAAGCTTGAGGTCAGGCATTTTTGTGTCCCCCACTTTCCTAGTATATCATGAAAAGAACAGATGCTGGGCTGGGGATGTGGCTCAAGCGGTAGCGCGCTCGCCTGGCATGTGTGCGGCCCGGGTTCGATCCTCAGCACCACATACAAACAAACATGTTGTGTCTGCCGAAAGCTAAAAAATAAATATTAAAAAAATTCTCTCTCTCTCTCTCTCTAAAAAAAAAAAAAAAAAGAACAGATGCTATAAATATTTTCAAAATGAATGAACAAAATAAGTCAGTTACTGGAGCTCCCTAAACAGCCTGCCTCACAGTAGAGATCACGCAGATGTGGCACACAGAACAACAGCCAGGGTTCTACTTAACATGACCTGATCATACTTATGAACATTTGTTCCTTTTAATTTCACAGCAATGCAAAGCTTAGTAAGGTATAAACAGAAAAGCACAAAGAAGAAAACACAAATGTTTGTGAACAAAATCATATTAAGAAAGTCTGAGTTTTATTTAGCGTTATATCTGAGGCACTAATGAAAATAAAGGAAGAAATTAAAGATGGATTCCACATTTAATTTTAAGGAGTCTCACGATAAGGAAAGTACTCTGTAACCAATCTTGAAAGTATGAAAACATCATTATGTTTACAATACACAAAATATACTACAATGATGTCCTATCAAATGACAATAGTCTCAATATCTTCAAAGTCTTTTCAATCTAACGTCTCCATGTTGTTTTTCCCAATTACAACTAAGTATTCTACAGACAAAACTAACAATGCAGAAAGCTTTCTGGGCTAAGAAAGCTGTGAAAGAATATGATGTTGGCCCTGAGAAACAAATAAACTGGCCTAGTGTTCAGCCAACATAATGCTACAAAAAGCCCGAAAGTGTTAGTACTTACATCTCAGACTAGATAAAGGAGACAATTCTCTTTAAACTACAATTTTATACTTACATAAAAAATCATGGTTCTTCAGACAGTAAATTCACATTATACTAAGTATTTTAAAGCAACATTTACTTTTTGGTGAAGGGGCCAACATATGAATTAGGATTTTTAGAAATGAAAAAGGAAGTACACTCAAGGTTAATAAAATGAATGAATGACCCAACTATGTGTGTTCCACTTACTTCTGCCCAGGATGACAAATAAACAAATTAGAAGCTAACATACAAGAAGTATTTTTAAAACCACAGACATCAAAATGGGAAAAAGAGATTTAGACATGATGTAATATCTCCTCAGAAGAGCCTTCTTTGAAATGCAGTTATTATATAAGCATAGTAAGAACTGTAGGAAAAAAAAACCCAAAGACTGGTATTACATCAGTAGAATCTATATAATGACTTTAATAATGCTATTATTTCTAAAGTCTTTCACAAAAGGGCACCACGATTCTTCAGTTTATTGCAAACATAGCTTTAAAAAAAAGTCAGCCCTAATATCGAAGCTAGTTTTTAATTATTGGCACTATACTATAAAGCACAATGAAGAACACCTTATTTAAATAAGAGGAGGATATTTTATTGGGCAATAAATCCAACCAATTTTTTCTCTCTCCAATGGTGATATCTTACACACTAGTTTCTAAATAGATGCAAATGTTTAAAAAATGACGAAAGCCATGGTTTGCTCCAGAATACTATTATTCACATACCATATAGGTTGTTTTACAGCAGATACTAGTTTGCCAAGCTTCAGGTGGCAAAATGCTAAGTTGTGAATCTGGTATTGTCCAGCTAGTTGTTTCTCCTTGTTCTGGAGACTCTGGTGGCATGTGCTGTTGAGTGATCACCCTGTTGCCACCACTTCCCTTCTCACAGTTGGATCCACTACTAGAGTAGAACATTCATGTCCTTAAGATGCAAGGCCTAGCAAAAAGCCTCCCACAAATCCACTGGATATCACTATGTTCTGTTTGATAAATTCTGTTGCCTGAAAAACAAAGTAAATTTTAAGCAAAAACACTCTTAATTATGTTACAATATGGATTAACTTGGGAAACATGTTAAGTGAGATAAGACAGACAAAAAAGAACAAATGTATGATTCTACTTATGAACCGTTAAATTCATAAAGTCAGAAAGCAGAATAGAGGTTACTAAGAAAGAGGGAGAAACTGGAAATCTGTATTTAATGGGAACACTGAAATGATTAAAAAGAAAGTTCTACAAAGGGACAGTGGCAATAACTGCACAGAAGTGTGAATGTACTTAATGCCACTGGATTGTACATTTTAAAATGGCGAATTTTATGTTAAATATATTTTACCACACAAAAAAGATACATTTGAAAAAATACTCTTAATTGTTGAACCTGGAGCTAAGTAACATTCTCAGCTTAATTTGATGACTATTCAGCAAAAATTCCTATGTACCTACTTACTACACAGGTGCCAAACACCAAGCAAAATCCCAGAGCTGTCCATTACAAATTGAATAAGCCTAGAGTCACAGCCAAGCCCAGAAAGCTCTTCAGCTACTGAAATAATTGGTATCTGAGCAGCAATAACCTCACAGGTAAAAAGAAATTTACCTATAGGGCAGATGTAAATGCCCATTCATCAAGTCATTAACAGATTATTTAATAAATGGCCACAGAAGGCCTGGTATTTATTAATAGCCCATTTAGCCAGTAAGAAAAAATATATTCAAGATAAAAATGTTGCTTAGATTAACACAATTAACCCAAACAAAACCACAACAAAATTATTAGAAAAAAACAAACTGTGGAATATTCTGCCTAGATGCTTAAAAAATGTCAAGGTCATAAAAGACTGGGGGAGGGGGAAGGATGACAGGTGAGAAAACTACTAAATGAAACTTGAGGCATATGATAATCAAATGCCTAGTCTTAGCTAAAAGGTGGAGAATACACAATTCTTAATTGGAAAAAGTTAAAGAAGATATTTTGTGAAAAATCTTTATATGAACCATATATTAGAAAATATTAAGGTATCATGTTAAAATTTTTTGGATTCATAATGGTATTTGTAGTTGTGAGGAAAATATCCATACTCTTAAGTAGATACATGCTAAGGTATTTAGGGGTGAAGAGTCATAACAGATTAAATAGTTCAGGGAAACAAATGTAATTGTCACCCACACAGACAAATGCAGCAAAATATGAACAATTTGGTAAATAGGTGAAGGGTGTTTGAGTATTCATTTTTATCTTTCAATTTTTCAATTGGTTTGAACATTTTCAAAATAAAAAATTGGGGGATCTAAAAGGACAAAACAAAAAAAAAGGAAGGGAGTATCCAATTCTAAACAGTATAAGAAAATATACAAATTAATAAAACTAATATGTTGATCATATTAACAAAAATAAAGCATATACATTTTCAAACTATTCTAGCTGAAGAAAATAATAAGTAGTTTTACTTTTATTTTACTCTACACACCCCCACACACATACATCTACAATTATAAAAGCAGAGGAAAAGTTGGGGAAGAATAATGTTATCAGCTTTTTCATGTAGATCAAAATGGGTGGGAAATGAGAAAGGGAATCTGTGTTAACTACCAAAACAAATAATAATTGACTTGAAAGGTTGTTTGATCCCCAAATTTACTTAACACTCCAGATATATGACTAAAACCATCATTTTTTTAAAATAAGGAAAACCCCAGTCACATTTTCTGTGAGACCCATTAACAAAAAGAGGAACCCAAATTATATTTCTTACTTCTTCAATTATATTGTTGATTTCAGGTGCTGCTTTATTTGCTCGTTTCTTAATCTGTCTTTTTGCTTTGTTTACATCTTTTTCAACTCTCTTCCAGTCGACCTGCACATAGCCACTGTGACTGGCGATCTGCAAAAATGTAATAAAAATGGCTATTATCCAGGAATGTATTAACATTTAGATTGCAAGGAATCCATGAAACTTGTAAGAAATTGTTATTTATTCACTAATTTATTCATTCAACAGATACTGAGTGCATAGTCTGTGCCAAGCATTGAAGGGAGACATAAGCTCCACTAGGTCAGTTAGGGAGAACAGATATTAAGCCTAAATAACTAATTACATTTAGAAAAATGTAGTACACGATGGGAAAGATTCCAAAATTAAAATTATGCTATAATTCTATTATACCTTTTGGAATAGGGAATTAGTTAAAAAGGACAGAGAGTAATCAAAATTATATAGCTAATAAATAGTATCTTTTGATTAAACAGATGTTTAATTACTATGAATCAGAAGCCAGTTATTAGGTCACTAAAGAAATCTAAAGTAGCCAGATAAAAGCTCTTCACTAACTCTCTTTACTTAAGAATACTTTCTGGTAATTGCTTTTGAAAGTAGAATATAAAAGAAATATGCTCTATACAAGTCTCATGCCATAAATCCTTTTAATACAACTACAGCTAAATGTCTATTAATCATTAAAAAAAAAAAAAAAAAAACCTCTTATATGGTGCTACCCAGACACTGCAAAATCTGAACAGGAACAATAGTTTTGAGTATAAGCCAGTACAGTAAGTTGGTGCCCCAAAATAATAAAATCAAACATAAATAATCATATGAATATACACAATATATACCATTATAATTCCATTATATATATATGTGTGTGTATATTATTATAAATAATTTCTCCTGAGCTTATACTCAGTAATTTTTACTTTATTTTTTAATTTTGTAGTGCTGAGGATGGAACCCAGGGTCTTATGCATGCTAGGCCAACACTCTATTATTGGGTTATATTCCTATTTCTCTTTGTAAGCTTTTAATACCTGGTTTTGACTTTTAACCACACATAAAAAGGCTCCTTTTCCTAAGGTTCATTATTTTTTGGTTAGAATAAGCCAAATATTATCTATGCCACCATTAACCAGCAATCACCAAATCAATTGTCATTTTCAAGACTCAACATTTTAAGAAATTTTTTGAAAAGTTAATCTTGAGTTATACTGATAATAAAATAACCAAAAATCTTAACTACATTCCCTGGGGTGATGGCTTATCTACTCACCCCCAATTCTCAGCAAATGAATAAAGGAAGCCATTTAATCAGACAGATCAAATTCTCACAAACAGCATTCAAAAACACAATACATGAAAAAATTTTACATAGCCACTTTTAACCAAAAGGTAATAAATCTGGCGTTATCTGAGATGAAGATTTTGTAGAGTTTAAAGAATCCCCTGTTTTAAGGTAAAATGTCAAACAGTTTCAGGGAAAATGAAAAACCTTGAGATGCTTAGGGGCATGAATGACTCTCTGGGCTTCCTTCCTGGACACCTCCAAGCAGTTAGAGCCTTTTTCCTCTGCTCTCGCAGTACCACATCCACCCTTGAGCTCAGCACTGACCAGATCATTAAATTTGTTTGCCAATACCTACTTCACCCAGTGAACTGTGAATGTCTATGTCCCTAGAGTCTTGAATAATGTCAGGCAAACAGATAAATAAAGAACAATGAATAAATGATGAAAAATACTAAATCCCCAAAGCTGTATTAACTAACCTGGCTCAAATAAGAGTCTAACAAAGGACTGTGCTAAATTATCCCAAAAAGCCCTTATCATGCCTACTAGTGAGTGAGAGAATGATCTCTGTCTACAGCTGGTCAGACCACTACCACTGACCAGATTTTCTTGAGATGTTCACTGCTATCTTCCTTTGAAGGCTCATCTGATCAAACTGAAGGATACCAATCCAAACCGAGCAGCATGTTCCAGTGCAGAGATGGCCGAAAATAAGTAATGTGACCCCAGTGGGTTTCGGGTATATATTCAACCTAATTGACAAGTACCTCCAAGAACTTACCGTACAGAACCCACTTAAATCTTGTCTACCCAGAAATCATCTAAATCTTTCCAGGGAAAAGCAAACCAAAAGATTGGGAAGAAAGTGAGGCAGTGATAATTGTTTTTTGAACAAAACTTGACTTTTCTACAACATTAAAATATTTAATGAAATTAGGTAAAGAGGTTTTATTAGAATAAAAGCATCCAAGTTAAAAATAAGGCTGGCTTTTAGGTAAAGATTCATGTCTGCGGAAAAACTATAAACAGGTAGATAGGGCTTTTTGTGAGCCTCACCATAGGTAATCTAACTGGGCTGTTTCAATGGGAAGACACCCCCCCACTCCCAACTTCAGACTTCAAGATAATTTTTCTTGGACTAGTTAAATCTCCCAAAGAATGGAAAGCCTTATCACACATTTGAAGCTTCCCATCTGTTTTTTGTGCTCAATTCTTAAATATGAATGAGGCATAATGAAGATAACAAGGATCATCATCAGGTAGGAGGAAGACCTTTAACATGAAAACTGAAGATCAAAGAAAACAAGCAGGGACAGGGTGGAAGAATCTAGAGGAAGGGTTGGTATGTAGCTCAGTGGTAGAGCATTCACCTCGCATGCTCGAGGCCCCAGGTTCAAGCCTCATTGAGGAGAGAGGGAAACAAAACAAAACAAAACTTAGAGAAACAAACTATGCAGGAACCGGTTTAATAACAAAATGAGGGCTGGAGGTATAGCTCAGTGGTAGAACACTTGCCTGGTATGTGTGAGATCCTGGGTTTGATCCCTAGCACCACAAAGGTAAGTAAATAAATAAAAGTCAAAACAACAAAACCAAACCAAACCTGATCATTGATGGCCAGTTAAATTTAAAAAGATAATGCACAATTGAAAGAGCTCCCAATGGCCAAAGCTACAACAATTTGAGCAATAAAATGGTGTAAATAATGATTGAATAAAAATTAATAAAAGGGCTAGATATGGTGGCACAGTCCTGTAATCTGGTACTCAGGAGGCTGAGGCAAGAGGATTGCAAGTTCGAGGACAGCGTGGGCAACTGAGCAAGACCCTGTCTCAAAATAAAAAAAAATTAAAAGGGCTGGGGGATGTGGCTCGGTGGTAGCACACTCCTGGGTTCAATCCCCAGTACTGGAAAAAAAAAAAAAAAGCAAAGGGAAAATCTAGAATGGGACTGAAGGGAGATCCTAGGATACAAGCTGTATACCAAGCCTACAAAACAAGAAGAAAAGACGACTCTGGGACAAGTTTGTCCAGAAGATTAAACTGATGGACTATTCCATACATATGACCATAAAAGATTTAGACAACTAGGAGTTATCTTGAGAAATAATCCCAAACTTTCTATAAGAAACAACCGCCCAAACCTTCTCAAACAAGGTTAAAGACCTAAATTCAGAGATGCGACATCCTTAGTGATCTCCAGGCAATGATCTAACACAATTATGAAATAACATCTTATACTGTGTGGGTGAGGATGAGTAGAGAGCATTCAAGTGTGTGAGAATGTGAGGAGGGGTGGGGAGAACAGAACAATTCAATACACCATAGCTAAATTCTCACATTTCATAATGGGAAGCCAATAGTTAAAAACTAAGACTGAAAGATCAAGAAATGTCCAATTAACTTGTTTAGGGAAAGGGAAAATCAGCTAAGAGTTCAAAGTGGTTACCTCAAAGGAGAGGAAAATTAGGGTAGAGAGGGAGGCAGAGGATTACTCTGATCTGTAATAAGCCTTGTACCAGTATTTGATCCTTTGACTTATGTACATATATAACTTCAAAAATGTAAAAACAGCTATATGCCATTGTCTATTTTTTTAAGTCAAGTGAAGAAGTGGGAATGGAGAAGGAACAAGAAATCTCTAAATGGTTATGATCAAGTACTTGTAAACAACCCTATACTCTGACAAATCCCATTGTTTTGTGGTACTGGGGATTGAGCCCAGGGGTGCTTTATCACTGAGCTATGTCCCCAGTCCTTTTGATTTTATTTTGAGGCAGGGTCTCTCTAAGTTGTCCTGGCTGGCCTTGAACTTGCAATTCTCTTGTAGCTGGGATTCCGGGCCTTGCTGTTATACCTGGCCCCATTGTTTACCTTAAGATGGCAGTATGATAAATACTACTGAGAAACACTTAATAGTGTTATGATAAAAGTTTTTAAATTCTAAGTAAACTAATATTTATCTTTAAGTGTAAGTAAAGGTTGAAAAATCTGGAATCAAGCCTAAAAAAATATTAGGCAATTAGCCTAAAAGCCACTTGTTTCTGTATTTCCTCTTTCAGGTTCCTCCTACTGAGTTTTCAAAGCTAATTATATTTGTAGAAAAAGTAGTTTAAGGAAGATAGGACCTAGCAAAATGTGGGTTTGAATTATCTATATTCAGTGAACAGAAATGAACTTCTGAAAAATTGACATTGCACAGTAGATTAAAATACACAATTCTCTCTGTGAACATTTTAGAAAACTACTTCAATCCAATACTTTTTTTTTGGTAGTACTAGGGATAAAACCCAGGGGCACTTTACTACTATGTTATATCCTCAGTCTTTTTTATTTTTTGAGACAGGGTCTCACTAAGTTGCCCAGGGTGACCTTGAACTTGCAATCCTCCTGCCTCAGCCTCCTGAGTAAACTGGGATTACTGGCATGTACCACTGTGCCTGGCCCAGTCCAGTATACTCTTTTGCACCAATAATGATAGTTTTCAAAATAGCTATAGAATTAAATATGTTCTTCTATACAAACCCAAGTCAAAATCAGCCTAAAGAAAATTCTCTTCTGTATATAAACACTGGCAAAGTCATCCAAAGGACTAAATTTAGACATTAACCATATTCTTTTTCACCTCTTAAGAGGTAATTATGACTAATAATGTCACAAAAAGAAAATACATATCTTTTAAAAAGCTGTTTAATAAATAACTCAAATTCAGTGCTGCACACATGATCTGGTCCCTTTGAACATAAAGGCAACTACACTGGTTATTACAGGATCAATGGCTTAGCTACTTAAGTCAAGATTTTGATTGCTATAAGCATCAATCATTTTTTAAAATCTGGTATAACTGACAGTTCTCTGTATCTTTAAAATTGTTGCTAACATTCATTCCCAAAGTTTTTCAATTTTTGGATTTACTATATTTGATCTTCAGGGAATGATATTTTTGGGAAAATATATGCCAAAAAGACATGAATGCCAGATAATATCCTGATAAACATCCTCTAATGGCAAAGCATTTTTAGACCTTATACTTAGAGGAAGATGAACAAAATTAAAATTTTAATCCACCTGTCTCAGTAATAGGATTATGGATAGTTATTTTTAAACCTAATTTTCTACTTTCTATATTATTATGGTTCTTTAGTTTTAAAAAAATGTTAGAAATTGTTAATATCAGCTTCCTCTGGGGAGAATAACTGTGTAACTAGGAAACAAGGAAAAGAAGAGCACTTTTGAATTCTATAAACAGGGAAAAAAAGACCTTCGGAATTTTTATGCATGTGAATTTTAAATAGGGGTTTAAAATGGCCAGGATACGTAGGTTATATTATTGGTGAAATGATTATTTAGCTAGGGAGATATTTTAAGAGGCATTTAGGTAATAATTAAAAAATGAATTTTTAAATTCAACTTTCAAGTTTTAAATGGTATCTTTTTAATAGCTGGAAACAAACTACACTAGAACTGGAGATCTTAGAAGTATTTGATTTGTTGTCTTTCATGAAGATGCCAGCTTTCAAAACTCACTGCAGTTTTTCCATACACTAACACCTAAAGGAAAAAAATCTACATCCTGTTAAAGTGGACAGAAGTAAAATGGCTAAACTTGACATTCTTAGTTCTTAAGAGCTACCTATGTAAACACAGGCAAGCATATAAAACTGACATACCTGAAGGAGAAGAAAGCCACCTCCCACTGCAGTAGCTGCAAGTTTTCCAACCTTCTGGAACAAAAATCCTGCACACCTTTAATGAAAGAAATAATAAAAGATGAGATCAATGTACTAAACCCTCTCCTCTTCTACTTTTTATTACTTTCCTAATGTCTTCCCATTCCTTTTGATCATATCCCTTGCCTGCTCAAAAATCCTCAATGTTTCCCTTTAGTCATACAGGCTAGTCAAAAATACACAATTTAAAAATGTTTGAGATTTGCTGCAAAATAAGAGATGGCGAGAGGAGGAGGATTTATAGGTAAGAGTGGTTAATGAAACTGAATGATGAATACTTAGGGGGTTCACTATACACATTCTATATTTGTGCAAGCTGAAATTTCCTATAATAAAAGTGATTTGTTTTCTTTTACTTAATAGTCAAGATATTCCATACACCTGGCCAACATCCACTTTACTCAAACCTTCTGCTTCACCCCAATTAATTTCAAAATAGTTTATCATCTTTGTTTGAGCTATTAATCTCCCTGGTTCTAAGGGTTTTTGCCTAACTCTGCCTATCTAAAGCTTTCCTACCCTTTAAGGTCCAGATGTAGTTCCACTTTTATGACTACACTTCAGCCCACATTTCTCAGAGCCTCCTTATCTATATCTATTTTTATATTAAATCTGTGCTGTCTCATCTATGCTGTAACAGTGTCAGCCTATACTTCAGCGAGCTCATATTCCTTAGTATTCCAGATGCATATTGTGCAAAAGAATCTCAGATTTCTAACTCTAGCATTCTGCACTGAGTTCATGTTCCCCCCAAATTTGTGTCCTTCCCAGAACCTCAAAATGTGATTTTATTTGGAAACAGATTCACTGAAGATGTAATTAATTATTCGATGAGGTTATACTGGAACAGGGTAGGCCCTAATCCAATGTGAGTCATATCACAGAATCATAGACACACAGAAGGAATATGACCATGTGATAACAACAAAGGGAGAGATCAGAGTGATATACTTACAAGGCAAAGAATGCCAATGATTGCTGGAAGTGAGGAGAGAAACATGAAAGAGATTTCTCCCTCTGAGCCTCCAAGAAGGAACCAAGCCTGCTGACACCTTGACTGCAAACTTCTAGCCCCCCAAACAGTAAGAGATAAATTTCTGTTGTTTTAACCCCCCAGGTTTGTGGTACTTAGTTATAACAGTCCTAGAAAACTAATACACCTTCCTACATTTGAAATTACATGATGGGCTTCTCCAGTACCTAGAACCACATATGCAAAAACATCTTTCCAACCAAAAAAACTATTGCTGAAGTCCCAATTTATTAGTACCATTCTCCAGGCCTGCCACCTCACATTTGTCTCAGGACTCTACCTTCCTCATTCTTGGTACAACTGATTGCCAAGTTCTATATCCTCTATCTCCAAAACATTATCTGACTCTTTATTCCTTTCCATTCTTAAGGGCATCATTACCTTGGTAACGGTTTAGGCTTCTATTACCTTGCTTCCAGACCACTCTAAAGGCACACTAACTGGTCTTCACACCTTCCATGTCTCCTAGCAACCACCCCATCTTACTATTAGTTTTAATTTCTTATGATCAAAAATGTATAATGGGATTGGGGATGTAGCTCAGTTGGTAGAGCACCTGCTTACCACATGTGAGCAGACACACACACATACACACACCACAAAACTAAGGCTACCTACGGCTAAATAATTTCCTTAGCTTCTGTTAACTGGTTAAGTTAATGTCCCACTAACCATTCCTCCTTAATATTATAATATACAACATATTAATATATACTAATATATAATATCACATCAATTTTATCCCCTCAGAAAATTCTAAAAATTTACTATATTGAATTTAAAGTCATTATAACAAATCATCTGTATAATATTAACATCCTATTACACAGCTCTTAGGCTGGCATCTGGCTATACTCCAAAAGTATATATCACTATCAAGAATATGTCCCTCATAGGGGAGCCAGCAATAAAGACTCAGAAAAAAGAGAAGCAGCAAATAGCCAGGTTTCTACATATCCAGGTTGGGTACTCCACAAGCTTGTATTGATCATTGTTTGATGGTATTAGTCACTAAGATGGACCTACTAAATTCTGCTGCTTTGTCTCTAGGCTATCCAAGCAAACTTCTGCCAATTATGGGGCTTCTTATAAAGGAGTGTCTACAAGATGAAAATGTACAATGACCTGATAATTCTATTTCTCAATTATTTAGTATCTTTTAATATTGGGCTTTTGGCCCTGACTTTAACCAATCACCCAGGGCATCAAATTATGGGTTTATTTAAACAGAAGGCCATACCCTGAATTATGGAGAAAGAGGTACAATCAACCTATGGCAAATTATCTAAATCAAATTATCTGAATCAGCCCTGATCAGAAATCTCTCTTCTAATTGCAGGCTTTTTTTTTTCATGCAGCAGCATTAATAAATACACATCAGTAATAAATACTGCAACTCTGTGCCACAGAATCTTCACAATAGCTGTTTCTATCATAAAAAAAGGCATTTACAAAAGGGCACAGAGGAGTGCACCATCATTCTGAGCACATAAAATACAAATCAAAAATTTTAATTTACACTTATTAAATGGAAATGTTAATATATAAATTAATGTGAGATGAATTTAACAGAGTCTAAAGAAAAAAATATTATTCACAAGGCAAGCACTCTAAATTTAAAAATTCTCTACGATCATGAACATTTTCAAAATAAAGAATTCAACTTGCTTCTGCCTACTCCATTACCTGAGTAATCTTTTGTTCCAAAAATAACAGAATTAGATCAATAGTAGCAACTGTGTAATTATGTGGTCTGATGTTACTTGGTTAGCTTATTTATTAACTACTCCTTAATGTACCCCACAATATTATTATATCAGTAAGCAATGAGTCCTTTAATTCCAACACAGAATATTCAACAGCTCTTCTTTAAAGCATTATCATAATCTGAACCAGCCCACAAAAAATGTCAGCTGTATCATCATTAATTTTTTGAAGCACTATCTCTGAGCTATATCCCCAGCCTTCTTTTTTTTTTTTCTTTAGGACACAGAATCTCCCTAAGTGGCTCAGCCTGGCCTGGATATTTGCAATCCTCCTGCCTCAGTCTCCCAAATAGCTGGGACTTCTGGCATGTGTCACAGAGCCAGCTTTCATCGATAATTTTTACCTAGCATTTATACTGCTCTCTACAGGGTTGACAATTATAGAGGCCAGTTCTGCTATAGGAGTTTCTCACGGGTTTTTCCAGTTGTTGGCACTGAATGGCAAGCAAAAATTTATATATAGTTTTTTGCATATATTTCTTCCTATCTACTCACTATCTCTGAATCAGATCCACATTTGCTAAACTTGAGAAACAGGAAATATGTTTTAAAAAAAGCAAAGGAAGGATAGGAGGAAAGAATGAAATGTTGGTGGGCATGGAAGGGGATCACCAAAATCCAACAGGAAGTCTCTGAAGATAGATCACACCACTTGGATCACAAGGAAACCCCTCAAAGTAGTACTCTTCTGAAATTAACAGTGTACACCCACTGAATGTGCATGGTGACTCTGGCCCATTTATAGAAGGACAATAGTCAGGCTCTCAATGAAATTTAATGAAAAAGATGTTGTTCTCACCAGCCAGTCACGCCACCCATTACAATCTGGGTAGCTACAGAGTATTTTTCTACCATAGGTCCCGAACTGTGGCCAAACACTCGATTCCACCAGTGGTGTCTTCTTGCATACTCAGTTAAATCCAACACTTCGTAAGAGTCGTCATCACTTTCGTATTCTTCAAAACACAAAATAGAAAAAATAAAATTGAGTCAATGGAAAGTCAGAAATGTTCTATACATTTTTCTTTTAATCTAACTTACTGTTCCTTTTGGCCTAAGGTAAAAATGCCCAGATAGAAATTAATAAATTTGTTTAACTCAATTCCTGAGACTAGCCAGGCATAGTGGTGAACAATTGTAATCCTGGCTACTCCTAGGGAGGCTTGAGGCAGGAAGATCCCAATTTGAAGGCCAGCCTGCACAATTTAGAGAGACCCAGTCTCAAAATTAAAAATAAGGCAGCTCAGTGGTAGAGGGCCTCTGGGTTCAATCCTAAGTACTGGGGATGGGGGGAAGGGAGGGCTTCAACAGTAGAGGGCCTGGTAATAAAACCCCCACCTCCTTTCCAAAGGCCCAGGGATCGCCTGGGGACCCTGAGCCAGTGTCAGTTCAGAATTACACAGCAAGTGAGGGTTCAACCCAATCTCAGAGTTGGGTCAGGGTCTGAGCGGGGTCCATTTTCATCAGTGGAAAGGGAGGGTCTTCCTCTAGGAAAGGAAAACACTTCAGAATGGGACTCAAATAAAAACAACACGTTGGAAGATGGAGATGAAGTACTAGAGGTGAAGGTCGGGTAGGGCTGTGTTGGGGGTGGGATCATTCTCCGCCTGAGTTCCGCAGAGCGGATAGGGAGAAGTCTAATTCGGAAGGGGTGGTCAAAGGGAAGGAATAAGCGCTGTGGGCACAAGGTCGAGTGCTGTGAGCCGCGTCCCAAATACTACTTCGGGCCCTGGCCGCTCACCTTGGGGAGGGGGGTTCCGGGACGCCATGATACCGCCGGCGGCCAGTTCTGGGGTGGTCCCCGCCCGCCCTCCTCTCCCACGCACTTTAAGGGCCGCTCTAGGCCGAGGTAGAAGTCTATGGTCTCTTCTTTTTCCTCCACCACCTCCTCCTCCTCCTCCTTCAGGCGCGTTGTCGCGTCCCCGCCCACTTCTCGCCGCGCAAGACCATCTGCGCAGGCGCGTGGCTCGGTAGGTTGGGGGGAGGGACAGTCGGCTCTTAGCCCCGCGAGGGCTATGGGAGTTGTAGTCAGTTGCCCTCCTCCTTCGTGGCGTGGGATCCTCCCAACCCCCTCTAGAATTTCCATAATCATAATTTCAGTTATTTTGTTTTAAAGAGCCTAGGGGCTGGAGAAATGGGTGGAGGCGCTGCACGTGGTAGTGTAGAGGGAAAACCAGGTTGGTATTGACAGAGACCAAACTTAAAGGCTCTTATGAAGCTCTTTTTTTATTTTCCCTAGGCCACCCACTTAGCCTGCTTCATCTACTTGTAGCAAGATAACTGCTAAATGGGGCTGGGGTTGTGGCTCAGTGGTAGAGCGCTTGCCTAACACATGTGAGGCACTGGGTTCAATCCTCGGCACCACATAAAAATAAATAAATAAAATAAAGGTATTGTGTCCAACTACAACTACCAAACATTTAAAAAAAAAATTACTGCTAAGTTAGGTTAGTGAGAATCCCCCGACCCCTTGATGTCAAATCACCCTCAATATCCATTCAAATTCCCCATCCCGCATGTGTTATCTGATCACACAGACCTTCACTGACTATAAATCCTCAACTGTCTTTGCTGTATTTACTGTTGAGCTGGACCCTTCATCCTTATTGTAGTAGTCCTGACACCAATTTCAAGAGTCCTGAATAAAGTCTTCCTTACCATTTTAAAAAGTGTCAAAATAATTTTTTTTAAACAGTGTTTTGAGCACTAACAGATTCAATCACTTGGGGAAAAAGGATTTTAAAAAGATGTAAGACAAATGCTGTTTCAAGCCACATTTTGGTAAAGAGGCAAGGACTCACCAAAGGGACAAATTTTTCTAATACCCTGCTGCTGGGAATCAGAACCTTATTACCTGCTTTCTCTCCATATACTCTGCCAGGAAGTCAAGAGGAAGAAGAGGAAGTCCTTGGATTTGGCCTCATAGGAGTTACTCAAGAGCACATAATTTTAAAAAATCATTCTATTTAAATCTGACAGAGCAATAAGCTCAAGTTTTTTTACTCAGAAACTCCATGGGATTCTACAGATTGTAAAAGCATGATGGTGACCAAACAGCTAACCCAAATTCATATATCCTAGCCCAAAACTATTTATTTATTTATGGTACCAGGGAATGAACCATGGGCCTCTCACATACTATGCCAGCACTCTGCCACTGTACAATTCCCAAATTCCCAGCAAACCCTCTTTTTTTTTTTGGAGACAGGGTCTCTAAATTACTAAACTTGGCCTCAAACTTGTCATCCTTCTATCTCAGGTTCCCAAGCCAAGGGATTACAGGCATGTATCACCACACCAGGCTCTGAAACTTATTTCCAACTTGCATTGTATCTGAATTTGCTGTGCAATTAAACAAAATGGCCCTCTCAGTATTTATTTTAATAGAAGATCAAGAATATCTAGTATACACTGTATTACTTAAAACATTGACTTGCATTATTTCACTTGACCTTTCAAATCCTGGTACTTTTAAAAATAATATTATTATTTACTAATATTCTTTTCATTTAGATAGCTTGCAAGTTTACATTTCTGTTATTTGTTGAGTGAGAAAGAATTTTCTTAAGTATGTAATATCCTTATAAATCAAATTGTTTACCTTTATTATCATGTGTATTCTAATACTAATTTCCATTAACTATTAAGAAACTTGTGTTTATTTAGTTCTTACTATATCTGTGCAAATAATTAACCTGTTAGCTTCAATTATTTGTTCTCATTTCATTTAAAATTGATTGGAAGCTGAGTGTTGTGGCACATGCCTGTAATCTCAATGACTAGGGAGGCTGAGACAGGAGGATTGCAATTTCAAGGCCAGCCTCAGCAATTTAGCCAGACTCTGTTTCAAAAAATAAAAAGGGCTGGGGATGTAGTTCACTGGTTAAAGCACCTCTGGGTTCAATCCCCAGTACCAAAAATAAAATAAAATAGATTGGAAAAAGCAAATTATCTTTGCTGTGACTATAGAGAGTAACTAGGAAGAGATGAGGGCAATACTAACAGTAATTTTATTTACATTAATGTTCATAAAGGTGGTTTACAGAGTCTTGGGGGTAGAGGAGCAAGGTGATAAAAAGTAAACTCTCCAAACACATGGCAGAAAGAGAACAGAAGAGAGTGAAGTTCCTCAAAGAGGGGGAGGATATTAGAAAATTTGGACATTGATAGGAAACACAGTGTTCTTTTTTAAAATTTTATTTCAAGACAGGGTTTTGCCAAGTTGCTCAGAGCCTCTCTAAGTTGCTGAGGCTGGCTTTGAACTTGTGATCCTCCTGCCTCAGCCTCCCCAGTCAGTGGATTACAAGTGTGCACCACCACTCCAGCCACATAGTGTTCTAAATTTAACAAAGACTTCACTTTTGACTGCTTCTCTGCCTCCATTTTTTATCTGTTTCCTTTGCTCTGAGTCACCTAGGAATCCAGAAACAACAGATGTGATTGATAAACATCTTGTGATGCATGGAAACTACCTCCCAGGCAACAGCAATTTTCTTATTGCTGACAAGCCCCACCTGACCAATCCTGAGATGATGAACCAGATCAAGATCTCCTGCTTTAGCAGCTGTGCAAATCTTCCAGCTAGGCAAACCCCAACCCTTGCGCTTATTCCCCTTTCTGTAAAACATTAAAGTCATTGTCAGCCTCTCAAACACAGGACTAAGGACCCAGGTCCCTCTTGTCTTTCCAGTATAGCTGAAAGAATTCCCCACGCAAAGACACTTCGCCGGGAGAATTCCAATTTTATTGCAAAAAGCTGTGTGCTTATATAGAACTAAGGGGGAGATGGTAGGGCTTAGATAAATGGCAGGCAACCCGTTTATTGGCAAGTTCTTTCAGATATCAGCTCCGGAGCCCAGGAATTAGTTCTCATTGGGGCTAAGGTTCCCCGCCAGCGAGATTTGAAATTGGCGCCGGCGGGAGAGTTCACACGGGCGGGAAGTTTTCGCGCCACTGCAGAAAAGAAGAAGGTAGGAAGAAGAGGTGCTTAGGCGCCATGTTGGGGTTTTTTCTCTGGGGTATGGCTGCCGTTTATACTTTTCCCAACAATAGCTACAGTGATTAAAGTATGTTTACTGTTTCACAATTTTTCTGTTTGTTGTTTGGGGCCAGTGGCTGGGTCTATTTGTTGAATCCCTAGAGTCAGGCCTCTGGCTTAGGACTCCAGTAACATGAATACAAAAGCATTAAAATAATCTGCCTATTCTAAGGTGATTAAGTCCATAGTGCTTCTGATTCCAAGAAACAGCATTTTATCTAGAAATAATGACTAGATAAAAACTTTAAAATATTAGTGTAACAGAACCTATATTTATCCTATATCTCCCCAAATTCATTCCTACATTGAGAATAGGACCAAGAAGGATAATTTGTTGAAGATTTTTTTTCTTTCTTTTTGTGTACTGGGGCTAAAACCCAAGGCCTTTTGCAGTTAGGAAACACTCTATCACTGAAGTACACACCCAGCCCCTTTTAAATTTTATTTTGAGACAGGGCCTCAAACTGGCATTCTTCCTGCCTCAACCTCCCAAGTAGCTAGGATTACATGAGTGTACCACTGCATCCAACTCTTGTTTAAGATTTTTTTTATTTATTTTTTTCTGGTACTAGGTACTGAACCCAGGGAGGCTTTACTACTGAGCTACATCCTTAGCCTTTTTTATTTTAGCCTTGCTAAATTGCTCAGACTGGTCTTAACCTGTGAGCTTTCTATTTCAGCCACCCTAGTAGTTGTGATTAGAGGCAAGTGCCATGTGCTCCACTTGTTCAAGATTTTTAAAAATTGGGCTCTTGAAATTGATTAAAGTGGTTATTTCAGGACATAGGTTAAGAATTTGTGAATCAAGGAAATAGCCATTGAGATACTTTATTTGCTTTTACTTTTTATAGATATTTTTGGCAGTTCTGGGGACCAAACGCAGGGCCTTGTGCGAATTCAGGTAAGCACTTTACCCCAGCCCCCAAATTTTGGCCCTTTAAATTCTGTAAAGTTCCTCAGCCTGTGATCCCTGAAATTCAATACTAAGACTGGCTATAAATTTTGAATTAATAAAAACTGAATAACTGCAAATGAGGTCTTAGGAATTATAAATTGGGACATAAAGATTCAGATACCTCTGAATCCATGTTCTGAGGAGGCAGAAAAAGTGAGAATTTATATGGTGATTGAAAGTTGGGTAAGAACAGGGGCTATATGACCCATAGAAAAAAATTTTAAAAAAGAAAATACAAGCCAGGTGCCATGATGCACGCCTGTAATCTCAGTGGCTCAAGAGGCTGAGGCAGGAGGATCACAGGTTCAAAGCCAGCCTCAGCAAAAGCGAGGTACTAAGGAACTCAGTGAGACCCTGTCTCTAAATAAAATACAAAATAGGGCTGGGGATGTGGCTCAGTGGTTGAGTGCCCCTGAGTTCAATTCCTAGTACCTTCCCCCCCAAAAAAAGTACAAAAAGAATGGAAGTGTCTATAAAAGAAGAGTCCAAAATCCTTTTGATATGCATCGTGAACCTTTGGGCACCATGTAAATGTCTAGTTTTTCTTGTCATCCCAGATGACTGAGGTCAAAGCTAAGAGATGACCAAAGTTCATGTTCCAGGTAGCAGCTGGTGATGTGTATAAGTCCTGCTTCCTAATGGCTTCCTGACTTCATTTTGAAAATCTCTTTTGATGTTTCTTTCATTGTAATTTTCCTTTTATAGTTTGGATAAGTGTCCCCCAAAAGTTTATGTGTTAAAGCCTTGGTCCCTTGCTATTGTGAGATGGTATAACTTTGAGGGAGGTAGGGTTGAATGAGAGGTCCTTAAATAACTGAGGGCATGTTAGACCAGGACGCAAGAAAAGACCACTGACTCCAATTAAAATCAAATTAAAG